GGCATGAATGTTGAGGTCCCCCAGCACCAACAGCTTGGGAGTCCTAAACACCAGGTCCGAAGCTATCTCCGTCAGCTCAGGCAGGGAGACTGCTTGTACGCAGCAGGGTGGGTGGTATACCAACAGAATCCCCAGTCTGTCTTGTAAGCCCAACACACAGTACAGGCCCTCAAGACCTCCTCTCAAAGGGATAGGAAGCCTGGTCAAGGAGATAGAACTCCTATAGACTATAGCAACTCCCCCTCCCCGACCCTCTGAGCGACATTGGTGCTGGACCGAGTACCCAGGTGGACACAGCTGGGAGAGGGGAACACCACCCTCCTCTCTCACCCAGGTCTCAGTAATTTGCGCCAGGTCAGCACCCTCATCCAAAATTACATCATGGATGAGGGCAGTCTTATTCTGTACTGACCTGGCATTCATCAACTGCACTGTGTGACTTGATGGTTTGCTGATATGGTCACCTGATACCATCTGGTTGGGGGTAGGACTAGAAGAGAGGATAGATGTAATATATCTAACCTGTCTTCTCCTACATGGCATGTTCTACTCCCACCACCATTCCTTCCCCTACCTAGCACCACCTCAATAGTTGCCTCCTTCTCACCCCATTGTTCATACCCCCACTCAACTGTGTAAAATAATTTTCCAATGTAGCCAACAACCCGTGCATGCATTTGTCATTCATAAAACCTTGTGCCAAATGAAATTTGCTAGCCTTTGATGTGCCATCAAATCATATATTGTCTTTGGAGGCAGGTATGCCAAACTGGTAGTGGCTTGAGTAGGTCTGTTACCTTCTGTAATTAGGCAGGTTTAAATGGTTCATATTTGCTTATCTTTTTTTAGTGCTTTAAACAACCTTAAACTGTTTTAAGTTTCCTCTGCCCTGTCCTGAGGTCTCCTGATAATAAAGTGGGATGTAATTATATTTAATAAGTAAATAATTAAATAACATGTGAAAAGAGAATGAATTGAACATTTTTATTTCATGCTAGAAATGGCTGCAGTGGCTTGTTTTAGTAGTACAGTAGTTCTATCCTTCTGAATAAAGATATACATATATTTTAAAGAAACTACCCAGATAGAGGATCCTCGAGTACAATGGCGGAGAGAGCAGGAGCACATGCTGAAGGACTATCTTGTACTGGCACAAGAAGCACTGACTGCTCAGAAGGAGATCTACCAGGTCAAGCAGCAGAGACTTGAACTGGCTCAGCAAGAATATCAACAACTCCATGATGTTTGGGAACACAAATTGGGATCTCAGACTAGTTGTGAGTAATTGATTGGTTTTGTTATTGATATTTTTTCAGTTTTTCCAGTTGTGCTAAAATGAAGCAACTCTAGCCCTACAGATCAGCCCTAACCATCATAGCTGTTGATGAGGATTCATGGGGAGTTCAGTCCATCTGGAACATTGTAGTTTTCTGACTTGCCTTTTGAAATTTAAAGCTTGGAGCTACTCTAGAAATATGGATAACAATGCACAGAAATCATTTATCCATAAATAATACGGGAACTGTGTGAGCCATTGTCTCAGTTTTCCTTGCAGCGGCTCCTGCTGCCAAGACACTGTTATCTATTAAAAATGGATTTCCTTTTTGAAAGTGCAGTGAAAAGAAGAGTCACTTGTGTATCATTTTGTCTTTCAAGCACAAATGACTTTCGATAAACAGCCTTAAACTACAGCACATACTATAACTGTCTGTGTCTGAATATGGTATGGTGAGTTAAAATGTTCCAAACTAGGTTTATTAATGTAAACTGATTCAGTGACTTCTGTCACAATTTCTTGTAAAAATGGATTAATTACGGAAAACATAAATAAAAGAGAAAAGGAAGAATGAAAAAGAATGCTATTTTGAAACCTTGGAATTGCCATTTAAGACAACCTTCTGTTGAAATGAGTGCAGCTGGTGCTCTTTCCAGTTTTCTCTTTCCAACCCTTGTTTCTTTAGAAACATTTAGATGCTCAACCAAAAATGTCGTGTTCATATCCTGTTCAAATGCTTCAAGATAAATACTGTACTTTTTAATATATACGGTCTCTGGCTGTCCCTGGTATGCTTCAAACTTTACTTGTTTCTTTTTCTTTTATTCTAGTAGTGTCCAGTTCCTCTTCCAGCTCAAAATATGATCCAGAAATTCTTAAAGCTGAAATTGCTACTACAAAATCTAGGGTAAGGAGGAAAATAGAGTATCTTTTACATTCATTTAATGCTGAATTAATAAAGTTGTAATGCTTATAGTCAAAGATTGTAAAAGTTATTGTTTTGATTACGACTCCTGAAATCTTTTATTATTATTTTAATATTATTTATTTAATTAATTTATATCCCGCCCATTTAGACCGAAGTCTACTCTGGGCGGCTAAAAACTGTATTAAAATAAAATAAAACAGCAATATTATGACACTGGAGGATGGCGAAATAAGTTAGGTATCGACAGGAGGGAAGGCCTGTCTGAAGAGCCAGGTCTTGAGTTGGCTCTTAAAAATGCCCAGCAAGGGAGCTAGACAAATTTCTGTGGGGAGATTGTTCCAGGGCTAGAGCAGGTAGATCTAGGTGGGAGATAGTGTTCCACCAGATATTGAGGTCCTAAACCGTTTAGGGCTTTATATGTCATCATTAGTATTTTGAAATCAATGCGGAAATGAACAGGTAGCCAATGCAAGGCCACCAGAGTGGGGAGATATGTTGATGTTTTCTAACCCCAGTAAGAAGTCTGGCCACCACATTCTGCACCATTTGAAGCTTCCACATCAGTCTCAAAGGTAGCCCCTCGTAGAGCGCATTACAGTAGTCTAATCTCGAGACTACAAGCGCATGGACCACAGTGGTGAGGGCCTCAACATCAAGATAGGGACGCAGCTGGACAATCAGCCAAAGATGGAGGTAGGCAGTGCGGCCCACTGATGTTACCTGAGTTTCCATGGTAAGCACTGCATCAAGATGTACCCCCAAGCTGTGAACCTCAGTCTTTGTGGTGAGAGTCACACACACACCCCCAAAAGTGAGGGAGTTTCCCAAACCACCAATGTCTGGGCCACCCACCCTCAGGACTTCCATCTTGTCTGGGTTCAGCCTCAGACCATTCCCTCATCCATCTCAGTATGGCATCCAGACAGCGCTGAAGGGACGGAACAGCATTCACTGTTGTAGGAAAAAAGGAGATGTAGAGCTGGGTGTCATCAGCGTACTGATGACACGAAGCCCCACAACCCCTGATGACCTGGCCCAGCGGCCTCACGTAGATATTAAACAGCATTGGTAAGATAATCGAGCCCTGCGGAACCCCACAATTGAGATTCCACGGAGCCGATACAATGTCCCAAAACTGTACTCTCTTCCATCCAGAATGGCTGTGCTGGGTAGGGGTTCTGGTAGTTCTTGTCCAAAACAGTGTTGTGTGTAGTGTGCGCGTGCATGGGTGCATTAACGCATATGTGTGTTTTCCCAGTTCCTGCCTTTATTAATAAAATAGTTACAGAAACATCTCTGAGAAGGAATTGGGCATAACATCTGAAATAGCTCACTGGATAGCTCAGTGGTTTGGCTGTGGTACCAGGGGTTGGGAGTTTGATTTCCCTCCTGGGCCTCCTAGCAAGAGCTAGCCTGTGTAGCCATGGGCAAGCCCCATTGTCCCAGCATGTCCTCAGAAAAAGGAAATAGCAAACCACCAGTGTTCTCTACCTCCAAAACCGTGGAAAGGGTTGCTGTAAGTTGGAGTCAACTTGATGGCATGTTGTTCTTGTTGTTCTTGTTGTTCTTGTTGTTCTTGTTGTTGTTGTTCTTGTTCAGAAACACCAGGCAAAATTATAAAAACATTGGTATTATATAACAGATACAAGTTTTAACCAAAAACCTAAGTATCTGTTAAATATCAGTGCAGTATGTATGCTGTTTCTAACATTGCCGTTTTTTGTAGCTCTGATGGTGTGATTTCTGAGATCTGCAACTGCTTAAATACTGTGTCAAATTTCTTGATAATATTCCCAAAGGCCCAATGACTACAGGGACCACTGAAATGTGTTTCTTCCAGAGCAAGAAGTTTGATTGCTAGTTCTCTGTACTTTGTTAGTTTTTCCAATTCTTTATTTTCAACTCTGTGATCCCCCGGAATTGCAATGTCAATAATCTGGACCTTTCTTCATTCTATTACTGTTATGTCTGGTGCATTATTGTTGTTGTTGTTGTTGTTGTTGTTGTCGTCGTCGTCGTCGTCGTCGTCGTCGTTGTCATCGTCATCGTCATCAACAACAATAACAACCTCTGAAATGTTTCAGAGGCTTCACATTTACTTATCTGTTTGATTCTCCCGGTGCAGAAATGCTGTACCTAACAACAGAAATATGAAACAGATACCTGTCTACAGTTTCATATATCACAGTTTATCAAGCAGTGAATGAACACTGTGATCATACATTACTCTCACCCATTCTCCCTCCTTGTCAGCCACATTCCAGTTTGTTATGGAGATCCAGGCTCGTATTATGTATGCCAGAATTCCGTATAGTGTCTTGTGTTTTGTACTAGGGAACTGCACTGTGTTTGTGCATTGACAAACTAGGACAATCAGTGAGGATGAAGAGGCAATCACAATGAACAAGGCCAAGCACAGGGCCAAGCATGGATAAATTTATTTTAATATTTCTATTATTTTAATAAGATATCTATGGATTTCTCTGACTTTGATTGTGGGAATGATGCTGTAACAGGAATCATCACATTCACCTTTCCATCCATTACTCTTTCCCCTTACTTTCTGCTCATAAAATGGGCCTTTTTTACTGACCACATAAAGCAAAGGCTGATCTGAATTGGTCCAGCCCTTTTTGCTCCCAAACTGCCTTTTTTTCTCTGCTTCTCATGGGCTTCTAGTTTTTCAAACCGGAATGATTTGAACAAGCTTTTTCGTATGTGATTAGTTGTGATACTTTCTTGTAAAGACAGGAGGCATGTCTATAGATGCTGCTTTGGAGATATAGGCAGTTGTGGCATGAGGTTCAGGCCTGGAGGGGAAATGCAAAGGCAAAGCACCATGATATTCATGCGGAGTTTTGAGTGCTAGTCCTGAATCCTGTCAAACACTGTAAGTTTCAGATTGTGTGGGAAGGTCCTTTTATTGTGAAGCAAAAGCTTGGTGCTCTTAATTGCTTAATTGACATGAAAGTGGTCTTGTCTCTGCTGACCTTTTTATGGTTTGCTGTGAAGATGCTTTTTCATTTGATGCTTCAGCCTACTAACATGGAAAGGTACTTCACAGTCTAAGAACACCAAAAGTCTGAACAGTAATTTTGTAAAATACATCATCATTGTTATGTCAGAATGATTCTGTAACAGTAAACACCACACTCCTCTTCCCATCCTTTCAGTTGACACATGTAGGAATAACCTCATCTCTGTTCACATATGGTTTTAAGCTATTGGCATGATAAATTCTGACAGGTGGAGGCAAGGAGAATTACCTGAACTCAAATGGAGGCTAGTTTGATCCACATTTATTGTGATACCCCAAGCAGTGATTTGTTTTATAACTGAATTCTATATGTAACTATTCAGAAGTAAAGCCCAATGAAATTAAGGAAATTTTCTAACTCATATAAGCAGCTATAGATTTATCTTCTTAGTACTTGCATATTTATTATCATTAAGCCAATAATTAAACCATACTGCTTTTCTGTGGAAAATAGGAAATGCACAAGTGTGCCTTGAAAGGTTTACAAAGATTTTTAATTAAAAAATAATGATTAAAATAAGAACATACTTAGCTTCTTTACAATTTGCAGGTTAACAAACTCAAGAGAGAAGTTGCTCACATGAGACAGGAACTCCAGTATAAGGAACTTGGTTTCCAGACACTAAAGAAGTAAGTTAACGATCTTGACTTTCTGACCAAAAAAAAGTTTTAAAATCTAGCTAGCTGTTTGTCATGTATGGCTACAGCAGTGGTTCCTAACCTTGGATCCCCAAATGTTCTTGGATTACATCTCCCAGAAATCTTGGCCAGCACAGCTAGTGGTGGAGGTTTCTGGGAGTTTTCGTCCAAGAACCAATGGGTCCTCAAGGCTGGGAACCACTGGGGTAGGGAATCTGTGTTAAAGACAAAAATAGGAGTGCTGAGCCTCCTGTCCTTATAATTCTGTCTTGCCTTCCTGTTAGTAACAGTGTTTCTTCTTTTTTATACACTGCTATCTTGAAGAATTGATATGAAAATGGCTGATACTCAAGGTGGATATAAACTTGATGAGGCACAGGCCATCTTAAATGAAATGAAAGCTATCAAGAAAGCCATAACATCAGGCGAGCAAGAGAAGCAAGATCTCCTTGAGGTATGGGACCAGTTTGGTGAACAATTTGTGCTGGGAGTACCACCCCAGCAACTACAGGTGTACCTCAGTTTACGAAATTAATGTGTCCTCTGGGATGTTACGTACTGCGGAAATTTCATAAACTGAAATGCGGATTGCGCTAGGAACAGGGGTGGCATTAGAAACTTCCAGGTGCAATGCATCTTGGGGAAACCCTTTCATACAGCGGGGGGGAAAAGTAAATCGGAGCATTATTTTCTTTGGATTTCGGTTCGTAAACTGAAAATTACATAAACCGAGGCATTCATAAACTGAGGTACCGTTGTATGAGTTTTTGTAATTGCCAGTTCAGAAATAGTTTGTCATGAACAGGAAAATGAAATTATCTCTGTTAATAGAAGCAAAATTAACGAATCTCCTGTACATTTTTTTCATAAAGTAAAATAACTCTGTCTCTGTCTTAACTCCTCCACTGCATGTCTGTTAAAAAAAAAAGATATTAAGAAGAAGGAGATACAATTTTATGTCTGCATATTTTCACATGGATGAAAGAGACTGATTTTTATGAAGTATATCCCCCTCACATTCTTCCTCCATCTTAATTGTCTTCAAAGCATTTTGATCAGTGAAGCAATCAAGAGTTGAATTTGTTTTCTTCTTGTTCTAGAGTCTTGCCAGGCTAAAGGCTAGTTTTGTGATGGATAGAGCATCACATTCAGATCCATGGACCAGCAGCACATCTTTGGAAAGCTCCAGTTTCTCGTTACCTAGGCAGTATCTGGATGCTGGCTCCCAAACAGATGTTTCTGGAAATGTAGGTAAAATGTTGTCCAGGCCCTCACTGTTATTTTATTCCATCAGAGCTATTTCACGGTGTTCTGTTGTAATGTGATATGTTTTTACATAAATATTTCAGGCAAATATTTTAACATTCAGTTTCTCTGAGTCTCTTAGGTGTGGAATTAGGGAAGTAAATATGATTCAGATTTGTGTCATTTCTTATCTTTTTAATGCTTATGTTGAACTTTGGCTTTGACACATGTTGTTGACATGACAAATTTACAGTCATGACTGATTAAACTTACAGTGTTTTCTCCCTTAGTTTATTGTAAGCAGTAATAATCAGTTGGCTGAGAAAGTGAGACTACGCCTCCAATACGAAGAGGCTAAGCGAAGGTAATTGGTTTTTTTTAATGCTACTGAGTTCAAATAAGCACAATTCGTAATCTGAATAAACAGCTTGCTTGTAAAGGAGACATACCTGCTCAACAAAGCAAATATGTAGAATGTGAGAGTGAACTTGTACACAGTTGCATTTCTAGTATGGCTAAGATTTCTAGCTGGACATGTGGAATCGTGTCTTTCAGTTAGATGCAAATTATGAACTGACTGGGAGGAAGTGTGTTTTACTTTTTGTATGTTGTTTAGCTTTATAAGTCATGTGGTTTAGAATGAAACTGAATATAAAACTGAAAACATTATGAACAAATAGGATCTTATATCATGAGCATGCTGATAGAAGTTATCAAATCATAGCAGAGCAATCCTTCCAGACCATGTTCTTTAGAAATGCATGGACGAATTCACAGATTACAGGTTAATGCCTTTGCTAATTTAATAGTGAAGCACAATGTTGGGCTTAATCAAGCAGCAGAGCTTTAAGAGATGCAAAGAATGCTTCAGTGTAGCTTGGATGGATGGTTATTAATTCTAGACTTTAAATTAATTAAGAAGCAGCTTCCCTGCCATGGGAAAAAGCCCAAAAGTTTTAAAAATGTATTCTGAAGTATGCCTTCTGTGCAAAGCATCAGGCAAAGCCTTGGCCGTTTTGGGTCAGTGGTAGATTAGGTCACAATCACTATGATGGGTGAAAATGAATACATGCTGGTCTTCAGTACCAAGTTGCTCAATATTGTGGTATATGATACTTGATAGTATTTACTGTGGCATAAGATATTAGATAATATTTATAAACTAATCTCATATCTCTGTTCAAACTGAAGACTATATTTTCATAGTGAGAGAACTAGCATTATTCGTGAATGATATGAATCTATATGTAGTTTCAAAGTGCATGAAAAAAATTAATTGGTTTCTTCATCCTCTAGAATAGCAAACATAAAAATTCAGTTGGCTAAACTGGATAGCGAGGCCTGGCCTGGTGTGCTGGATTCTGAACGAGACCGATTAATGTTAATCAATGAAAAGGAGGAACTTCTAAAAGAAATGAGGTTCATTAGCCCTAGAAAATGGACTCAAAGTGAAGTGGAAAGATTGGAGATGGAGAGGAAACGTCTAGAAGAAGATCTTCAGGCTGCAAGAGACACACAGAGCAAAGCTTTGACAGAAAGGTAGGTGCTTCCAATTAAAGTGAGGATGTTTTGTTGACTCACAATAGTACACCTTTGTGACTTTTTGTGCTTTTCTCAGTTTAAGTACTGGAAATGATTAGTTTCTTCTATTCTTGTGAATTAGTAAATCTGCTGCAGACACTGTGCCTATCTATAAATAAGTTGCATACGATACTATACAGAAATCCCTGAAACTGGGTGGGACAGTAGGTCCCTGGTCTTCAGCACTGCGTTTAGATTCCAGAGAGCATGAGGAGTGTCCACTTTACACAGGTCATTCTGCTATTTATGGTTATGAACACCACATCTCAGACCACAGGAAGAATTCTCTCCAGCTCTCATCTTTCAGGATTAAAATATGGCCTCATATTTTACATGTTCTGTACATGCTCTGTGAGCACCTTGAAACCCCATGAGATGATTCCCTGACAAGGAAAGTCTACCATCTTACACATAACCGAAACAAGGAGCATGAACCATCATAAAGGAAGACAGAAGGGGACACTAATTTGTGCAAAGGTTTATATTAGCTTATTAGAAGATACCAAACTAGATTTAAAAACTAATTTAAACAGAAGTACATTGAATCTCATTTGAGTGGAGAAGGCTATGATGAGGTGAACTGTGTGTCTGGTGAGTTTGCTATCCAGATGTTCACTATGACAGCTTTAAAGCCCCTGGGTCTTATTTCTTATGATTGATTCTTCATCTTCATCTAGTCGGACTTGGAAAAATTTCAAATGAAAATGTTTCAAAATTAGGATTCTCCATAAGGTTGCATGGAGATTGTACCTTACTCCATTAAGAATGAATATAATAAATAAAAATGTACTACTTCAATGTAAAAAAGAAAAAGGGACCTATATGCAGATGCAGTGGACTTGTGAAATAAGAAAGAATGAGACTGATTTTTTAAAAAAATTAGAGAAATTATTGGATATCATATTTAAACATCACCAATTATAGCCCTATTAAATATAATTAAGAACATCCATCTTAAAAAATAACAAAAAGAGTTAATTGTTATAATGGTCACAGCAGCAAGACTAATATTTGTGAAGAATTGGAAAAGTGACAAGGAATTAATCTTGAAGACTGGTACAAAGAAATTTGGAGTTCAGCAATTAATGATAAGCTAACATGTGAAATGAAAGTAGGAAGGGAAATGACAAAATATAACAATTTTAAAGAGGTATGGAATTTATATTTGAAGCATGTCTTTGTGAAAGGGAAAGGTCATAAGCCATCAGAAGAATCAATTTATTTTTGGAGTGGAATGGGATGAAAAGGGGTTAAAAGGATATTTCTGGTTACCTAGTCCTGAGGGTGAGGGTGGCACAGTAGGGGAATTATAGTTCTGTATTGTATGTATACACATTTTATGCTAGTGTTGTCACTATTTACAGTGGACCCTCTACTTACGGAATTAATCCGTATTGGAACGGTGGCTGCAAGTCGAAAAGTCTGTAGGTCGAATCTCCACTGACCTACAATGCACTGAAAACCGATTAATCCCATAACTGGCAGTTTTTATTCTATTTTTGTTCCATTTTGGTTTTTTTTCTGGTCTGTAAGTTGATTCTCCGGCTGCAAGTCAAATCTAAATTTTGCGTCCAGAGAAGTCTGTAACTCGAAAAGTCTGTAAGTCGAGCCGTCTGTAAATCGAGGGTCCACTGTATTTAATTTAAAAATGATAAAAAACAAAACAAAAAAACAAAATGAGGATTATCCTTCTGAGTTCTTCGTATGGAAAATTGTCATCACTGAAATAGGTTGTGTGGCCACAAAATGCAGACGGCTGTTCTCAGCTGTTCCTCAGTCAATGAAGCCATGACTGCTTTTCTCATTGCCGTGGCAAGAGAGTTTTAACACTGATCTGTGCTACTCCCAAGTGGTTCTGAAGCCACTTAAGTCACCAGAGCCCTTGCTTGCCTGATTCCCAAATATATATTGATGCAAAAGAAACAAACTTTAAGCAAATACTCTGTTTTTTCTGAATTGTATTCAAATATATTCTGTCGCAAGGTTTCTTAACTGGATGAGTATTTTAGAACTGCAGGGCTGGAAGGGATCCTATGAATCAATGAGTCCAACACCTCCCAAGGAGGCACAGTGGGGAATTGAACTCCTATCCTCTAGCTCCTCAGTCAGATAACCAAACCAGCAGTCAGTATGTTTATTTATTTCCTGGTTTATTTATGTATGTGTTTGAATTAAAACAACTTTTTCTGCAGAGAGGCTCATAGTAACATTAAATAAAAGAACACATTCAACAAGACCAACTACTATAGCATTTAAAAGACCCACTTCAAAAATAATTCAAAACGAAACTTAGCAAAATATCCCTGTGAAACATGTGTTGCACATTCAGCAGCTAGGCAGTTGCCAACAGCCTATCTGGATTTTTTTTTAAGTGTTTACATGCTGGCAAAAAGACAACAGGGAGGGGGGCACTTGGTTTCCCTTTTGCCAGGGCAGGCCAGAAGAAAAATGGCAAGACCATTGAGAAAACTCTGTTGGTGACCTGGCAGCAATTTTCTGATATGAAAGGCTGGCCTGCATCCCAAGGCTCCCAAAGGCTTTTCCAGGGCAAAAAGAATCCCCAGAACCTGAAAAAGAGGGGGTAGGGAGAAGACGACATGCTAAATTAAATCACATTAAGGATCTCCGTTGCCGGATGTTGACATCATCCAGATTCTATGGCTTAAAGCAGATTTTAGCCTGAGATTCAGTATGAAAAATGACAAATCCTGGGTTTTCATGGCATCTTCACAAAGTTGTCATGTTGAGATTGCAATTCATACATACGGAAATGCTGGTTTGAGACTTTCTTGTGCTGCCTTCCTTTAATATTCATGAGATAGACCACCTGACAACTGCAAAGAGACATTAGAATTAGAATTTTTGCTATATTTAAATACAAATGCATTTTAAAATGTTATTCCCATAGGAACTGAAATTTCAAAAGATTATAATTTGACAGCTAGACTACCAAGCAGATAAAAGCTGCCACTTCTCCCACACAGTCTCCTGTCATTCTCTGGGCTACTGAAAGAAAATTACAGTTGGTGCCTGGATGGAGAGAGACAGCATCAAGTTTCAGCTGTAGTTTTAGTACAAGATGCAGTAGTAGCAAGGTTGAAAAATCTCCATGTAATTGCCATTCATTAGACTTGCTGCGTAGGCAGATACTGCTTAGAGCCTGCTATGACTGTTTCTGACATTCAGCCTCTGCTCACTAAAAAGGAATTGAACAAACTGTCCTTCATCTTAGGGTTTTTTTTTTGTTTGTTTGTGTGTGTGTGTTTGTGTGTGTATGATTTTTCAGGCTTCTTCCTGCACACAGTTAACAGCCATCCCACACAAATAAACTAAATAGCATGTATGTAGGATTTTAAACCTTCAGAAATCTGCAAATTTTTGCTGAATCCCAAGTCCCATGTCACACATGATGTGTATATATCTGCTCTCTAACGATCTACTGTACATACCTTCTCTAGTTGCAGAAGAAGAAAAACACCTCTTTTTCTAAAATTACTCTTTGCTACTTCTAGAAGTTACACTGAGTAGTTACAGACTACTATTTCTTCACGCATAGTATCACACTTCATCTGCATTTGTTCTGTAGCGATGTCCTCCTTTCCTGTTGGCAGGATAATACAGCCAACCCACCTACCTTGCAGTAGAAGAGATTATTCTATAATGCTTTGTTCATTTGTATGGGCTACCTGTTACAAGATGCTTTGCATATCCAGAAGTGCAGAAGAGAGCTTGTGTTGTTCTATTGTATCTATATTCATTCAGTACTACATAATTTTAGATAGCAGCCCTAAAGACTATTTTTGGACTCCTCAGAATTCAGGATGTTTGTGGAAACAATTTTTCAGATGAACCCATCTGGGTTGAACCAACTCATTTTAAGACAAAAGAAATTAAAATAGAGGCATAAATTAAGATTGATTATTACAGTGTTTCCATTTTAAACCACAAGATAACTACTCCTTGTTAACTGAGTTGCTAGGAGTATGGTTTCACAGCTAATTAGGAAGCATGGAAGAACATTATATTTTGTTAATATATGTTTATGAGTTATCCTCTCTTATCATTGTGAGGCTAAATTAAGAGGTGAGAAATGAATTGTTAATTGTTTTTTAATTAAGCCAACATTGACTAGTGTATAACACGAGATTTGTCTTGCCTTCAGCACTGTAGATGATATTTCTTACTAAATGCAGCAATTTCATTTGTACTTAATATGATCAAGTATCTTAAGGGAGATAGTAATAGGCAACTTAAAGTGAGATAGCTTTGAAGTAAAAACATTTGATTTAATTTGTCTTGTAATTTTTATGGTTTTCACTGTTGCATTATTTGCCATTGTTTGCCTGATGTCGTTGTTTGTTAACCACCCAGAATAGTGTATTACACTAATAGGTCAGGAAACAAACAAATCAAACCAGACAATGTATGTAATCATATTCTTTCCAAAGGTGTTCTTTGAAGTGAAGAATGAATTCATTTTGACACAAGGCCATTTCCCTCACCTGCCTATTTGTTTGTTTATTTATTTATTGTATTTATATCCCACCTGTCTGGTCAAACGACCACTCTAGGTGGCTACCAACATAAATAACCATATATAAAATATAACAAAGTTTAAACATCAATAAAGAAGTTGATCAAGATGAAAGAAGGGAAAAAGAGAAAATATTTAAAAAAGAAAAAGGAAAAAATATCAAGCATTAGCTGGAGGGAAGGCCAACTACACAAACATCCAAGTTTTCAGTTGGTTTTTAAAGATGGCCAGCGAAGGGGCCGCACGAATCTCCGGAGGAAGGTTATTCCGGAGTTGAGGAGCTACTGCCGAGAAGGCTCGGTTTCTTGTTTTTTTCTTCTGGGCCTCCCTCAGTGTCAAGCTCCTCAGCCTCACCTCCTGACTTGATGGAGTGATACGGGCAGATTTTGGTGGGAGTAGGTGTTCCGCCAAGTATCGAGACCCTAAACTGTTTAGGGGTTTATACGTAAGCATTAAAACTTTGAAGTCAATGCAGAACCGAATGGGCAGCCAATGCAAAGCAGCCAGAGTGGGGGAGATATGCTGATATTTCCTCACTCCACTAAGGAGTCTGGCTGCCACGTTCCGCACCACTTGGAGTTTCCGCATCAATCTCAAAGGTAGCCCCACGTAGAACAGATTACAGTGGTCTAATCTCGAGATTACAAGCTCATGTACCAAGGTGATGAGCGCCCCAACATCAAGATAGGGACGCAGCTGGGCTATCAGCTAGTGTATCTAGTCTAGTTGAATTTAACAATTGGATTTACTCCATAGATTGTTCTTGGATTCATGTGGATTATAAAGCAGACCTTGGTGAAGTTACTCTTACAACCAAAAAGTAGCAGTCATATTGGTTGAGAGTTTCAGGAAAATTGAAATAGTAGCTTTTCCTATCTCTGTTGTAAAGTCTGTTGAGTTCTCATTATGCTTGTATTGCTTGTGTAGTATTCTGCATGCAATAAGGCCTGCTTTCAATGCAAACTCAAAGTATGGCCAGCATAGATTAGCCTCCTCCCTTTTATCCTTCTCCCAACATTTTAAGGCAGCTTTTAATATTTTTAATAACAATTATCTGTCCTGGAGGTTGGTCTTTTGCTCTTTTAAGTTTGCTTTTATAGTTTTAAATGTTTTCAAATTACTTAACGGATTTTTGATTAGTGGCATAGTTTAATTGCTTTTTAATCAGTAATTTATTGTGTTTTATCTGTTTTAACATTGTGAGTCCCTTCACTGGAAGAAAGGTAGCCTACAAATGATGCAAATCAATAAAGAAATAAAAATAACACAAATCATTTCCGGATGCTCCCAATTATCAAGAGAAGGAAGAGCTACTTTTAAAAAATTGTAACTATAGATGGGCACGAACAGAACAACAAACAAACACTCCGCAAACTGAGCTGATTTTTTGGTTTGGTTCATAGTTCAGTTTGGGGATCCCATTTTTCTGAAACGAAAAGAAGCGCTGAACTTTTTTTTTCCCTATTAGCATTTTGTTTTCAGCAAAGTGAATGTCCTACTCCTTCCTGCTGCCCCATCACCTCCCTGCCTGGTCCTGCCCCCTCTTCATCCTCCACCACCTCCGTTCTTTGAAGACAGTGTTCTGGCACCTGGTGAGTGGCAGAGGAGGTGGAGGCATTACGTTACCCTCCCCCAAGGCATGAACTGGGGAAAAACAAACCATGAACCACGACATGGAGAGCTTGTCACTGTGGAAGTAGAATTGCTTGTGGCATGAAACCTTCCCTGATGTGCTCCAAATTCCAGTGCAAACCTTGTTCATACATATCGAAACAGTCTGTCTCCCCTGTGGCAAACACAAAACCCAATTAAATCCTGGTTCTGCTTTCACTTGCAAAAAAAAAAAGACTAGTACTATATAGCCTCCACCCCTCCACCCTCAAAATTAAGGGAACTTTAAGGCAACATAGATATGATACATTTTTACATATTTATGTACTTTCTCTAGATTGTCACATGGTCTCTTTGGATATTTATTCACATATTTTTAACTTAAATTTCTTTGGAGATTAAAATGGTACCCTCTTTAAATATCCTCTTTCAAATATCTCTTTAGCATAAAGAAATGAGAGACAATAGTTTTACAATACCTTCAGTATTATTTTGCATCTCTGCCAGGAAGTATTAATCTTGTTTACACAACAGATCTGTTTGCTTCTGGATAGTCTGCATACCTTTTGCAAAGGTGAACATCATTGATGATCAGATGCCATCTCTGTGTAAAATCGTAGTGCTGGCATTCATTCCTTTTTCTCAGTTTGTCAGAAAAGTTTTTGTAATCAACAAATTGTAATCCTGATACTTAGAATGTGGTTCATGATATGTGAGGTGCAAAGGAATTGTCGTCGTCGTTTAGTCGTGTCCGACTCTTCGTGACCCCATGGACCAGAGCACGCCAGGCCCTCCTATCTTCCACCGCCTCCTGGAGTTGTGTCAAATTCATCTTGGTTGCTTCGATGACACAGTCCAACCATCTCATCCTCTGGTGTCCCCTTTTCCTCTTGCCTTCACACTTTCCCAACATCAAGATCTTTTCCAAGGAGTCTTCTCTTCCAGTGAGCACTCAGGGTTGATTTCCTTTAGAATTGATAGGTTTGTTCTCCTTACAGTCCAGGGGACTCTCAAGAGCCTCCTCCAGCACCACAATTCAAAGGCATCAATTCTTCGGCGGTCAGCTTTCTTTATGGTCCAGCTCTCACTTCCATACATCACTATAGGAAAAACCATAGCTTTGACTATTCGGACCTTTGTTGGCAAGGTGATGTCTCTGCTTTTTAAGATGCTGTCAAGGTTTGTCATCGCTTTCCTCCCAAGAAGCAGGCATCTTTTAATTTTGTGGCTGCTGTCCCCATCTGCAGTGATCAAGGAGCCCAAGAAAGTAAAATCTGTCACTGCCTCCATATCTTCCCCTTCTATTTCTGTTGATATTTCTTCCGGCAATCTTAATTCCGGTTTGGGATTCCTCCAGTCCTGCCTTCCGCATGATGTATTCTGCATATAAGTTAAATAAGCAGAGGGACAATATACAGCCTTGTCATACTCCTTTCCCAATTTTGAACCAATCAGTTGTTCCATGTCCAGTTCTAACTGTTGCTTCCTGTCCCACATATAGGTTTCTCAGGAGATAGATAAGGTGGTCAGGCACTCCCATTTCTTTAAGGACTTGCCATAGTTCGCTGTGGTCCACACAGTCAAAGGCTTTTGCATAGTCAATGAAGCAGAAGTAGATATTTTTCTGGAACTCTCTGGCTTTCTCCATAATCCAGCGCATATTAGCAATTTGGTCTCTAGTTCCTCTGCCCCCTCGGAATCCAGCTTGTACTTCTGGGAATTGTAAATCCCAGCAATTTCAGCAGCAGTGATTAATGAATATATAATTGTATAGGTGAAGGGAGCATCCATCTGGGGGAAATCCTTATTCTTACTCTGATTTCTTTGACATAAAATATTTTCTGTTGGTCTTTAACTGTTCTGTACTAAGAAATATTTGCTCATGTGAAGTTATATGGGAAGCCTGGAACAAGGCTAGATACAAGACTGATTTATCTTCAAGAGCACTGCACCAGAGGGGGCTAACTTTTTAATTTAATATAGCTTTGAGTAGCATTTTAAATTCTTCCTTTCTTGTATCTTTTCCAGACTGAAGTTAAACAGTAAAAGAAATCAGTTGGTCCGGGAATTAGAAGAAACAACACGATTGGTAGCAAAGTTGTATGTCCAGCTGAAAAAGTGAGTTTTTAAAATAAATGTCTTAAATGTATTCGCCTGCTGCTGCTGCTGCTGTAAATGACGATGATGGTTTACTGCCTTTATCCACAAAATAGAACATGCTGGCTTACAGTAGAATGTAATTCAATAAACACAATAAAATATGACAGAAATTAAAAATAAAAGTTAAAGTTGGAGTTTAAAACATAGAAGTAATAAATAAACAAACCCAATCAACTCCCTGATTAAAACTCCCTTCTCCAGCAGCTAAGTTGGATTGCTACAGGCCCTGCAGATACAGTGGTGACTCGACTTATGAACTTAATCCATTCTGGAAGATGGTCGTAACTTGAAATGGTCATAAATCGAAGCACCATTTCCCACTGAAATGCAATTAATCCGTTCCGGCCGAAGAAAAAAAATCACCAAAAACCCCACCGGAAAACACTGCAAGACCGATCGGAAATGCGATTAATGTGTTCCGGCCGAAGGTGAGGGGGAATAGAAAAGCAAGCCAAGCATGCAAGACACATCGGAAATGGGTAAAAAGCAAAGCAGAAAGCAAGCCAAGCATGCAAGACCCATTGGAAATGGGGAAAAAACCCCCAAAAAGCAAACAGATGCCCCCAAAGAACTATCAGAAATGGGGGAAAAATACCAAAAAACAAACCCCCCAAGACCCATCGGAAAGGGGGGGGGAAACACCAAAAAACAACAACCAAGACCCATCACAGCACAGAAATATAACCCCCCAGCCCAAAGCCACACTGCAAAACCCACAGTTTTTAAAAAGCAGAAAGCAGTACTTTACCAGGCAGTCCAAAGCCTCCTCCCATTGCACTCACCCTAACCGTTGTGGTGAAAGAGCTACAAAGAAGCAGCCTCTTTGCCTACCAACGGTTAGCAATTTGAATTTCCTGCCTTTTTCCCCTGCCTTTTTTTATTGTAACTTGAAGCTCCGGCCACAAGTCGAAGCACAATTTTGTGGCTGGAGCTGGTCATAATTTGAAATGGTTGTAAGTCGGGATGTTTTTAAGTTGAGGCACCACTCTACAGAAAGGCATGATAAACATAATGTAAGTATATTTTTGCAATTGCATGAATATTGTGATTGCACTATAATTATACTCCTACAGTTCCATTAATATTGTGAATTCTACAATTTGTTGTGTGCAATATATGTTTGAAAACAGATATTTTGAAGGATTTTTCCAAACATAAAATTGCATAGCTCCTTTGTGCCATTTTCTGCTGTGTTTGCTTTTTAGCAGAAATAAAGGCATAAGTGGTGTTTTCAAACTGTTTGTTTTGAAGTAAGAATCATAATATTTAAGATAGATAATATCTTAAGTAGAAATGTAAACTTTCTGAAAATTTCCATTTTTTCTGGAGGGAAAAGTATATTTATCAACACTGAAAGGGCAAAATCCAATAGAAATACAAAGATTTCATGGATATATGACCATGAGGTAGGACAAGGAAGTGTGCTGTAGAACTTTTTTGTGCTTTATGTCAGTGGTTCCCAACCTTGGGTAACCCAGGTATTCTTGGACTGTAACTCCCAGAAGCCCTGGCCAGCACAGCTGGTGTTGAAGGCTTCTGGGAATTGCAGTCCAGGAACACCTGGGTTACCTAAGCTTGGGAACCAGTGTGTTGTATCATAACAAGTCAATTCCAATGTATGGTGACTCTAGTAGGGATTCTGAGATACATGTGATATTTAAGGGTCTGAGGAAGCTGACTTGTCCACAAAAGCTCATATTAAAATATACATTGGTCTTTAAGGTGCCACAAAATTTTGGTGCTTTTTTTTAAATTTTCTTTTGTTTTTGCTTGATGTGCTAGCACAGACTAACATAGCTGTCTCCTCTGAAGCTATATTAAGGTGTGGTTTTCCCAGTGCCATCATCACTAGTCTAACACTCTGTCCACTTCACTACAGTGTAAAATGTAGGTACCAACAACATGGCGCAAGCATCTTGCAGCTTGCACCAACATGTGCTCTTACTGAAATATATTTTTATTTTATTTTAAACATCTATATACCTGCCCTCATTAGGATAGATTCCAATGCTGTTTAATTCCTGAACTATGATGTCATGGTTTGTCCGGTAGAGACTTCCAAGGAGGCAAGTTGGATTTGCTCACTTTCATAATTAGTGCACTTTGGTAAGCGGAAAATAATTTTCTGATAGGGCCTTCAATTCTGAAACTGGCACTGTGTCATCAAAGTAGTATTTTCTACTTTTAAAAAAGAAATGGAAAAATATCTGGGGCACTCACATCAAGCACTCTTCTTCAGCCTCTTCTGGTGGAATTTTGAATAAAAGTATCTGAAGGGATTTTTAAAAAAATGTTCATGCAAACCTGCATTGTTTTTAAAATAGTTATATCCCATTTTCCTGTTGCCCGATTTTTGTAGACAACTGTTTCAATATCAATGGCTAAAGTAGCACTCAGTTATGCAATTAGTTTTTCTAAAGTGTAAAGACAATAACTGCCATTATCACCAGTGTGAGTGATTGTGTCCCAAGAAGCTCACTAACCACTCTTAAATAATTGATTTTACATGATAAAGGAATGTTATCCAGAAGTGGGGGAGGAGACAACTATGCCTCTTGAATTATAAGTTCTAAAGTATGTATAATTATGACTTTGTTCATTAATTCAAACTCTACCAGCTCAATTTATTATTTCTTCCATTTTACCCAAGTTGGCATTCTAACTTCTCCCTCTTATCCTCAGAGACAAACCTGCAAAATGGAGTGGGATTATGGCTCTGATAGAACACAGATAGTCCCAAGTTCAGTCATGCCATTTCCAGGCAGGATCAGGGGGGAAAAATCCTAACTAAAGCCCTGGAGACTTGTCAGTGTCAATAACCATCAGCTTATACGGACCATAGGTTTGATTCAGTATAAGACAGATTGCTGTATTGTTATTGTTCTACACTGTGGGATGAATTCCTCCATAGTTTTAGTCATGAGGTGAACAACAGTATGAATGATATGGATCCTGAGGCCCCAAGGGCCAATAAGATCTAAATGAATATGTGGAGGTTTCAATCTGAGTTTCCCTCCTCCTGGTCAGGATGCTCTAGTCCACACAACATGGTGAGCCCTGTCAGATGAGCCTTTTATCTCTAATATGTTTAAATTTCCCTTCAGCCTGTCTTCTAGCATGCTTTCCTTGTCGTCCGGCAGCAGTCCTGCCTCATCCAGCCGAGGATCTCTTGCCACCTCGAGTCGGGATTCTTCGGCCTCAGCCAGCTTTACAGATCTCTTCAGTGAACAGCTTGAGCAACTGGACTCTGATTATCAGAACAAAATGGACCTCTTACTCTTGGAGAAAGCCACTGGCTTTCGGCCTTCAGGTTGCATCACTACTATCCATGAACATGAGGTTGCAAAAACTCAAAAAACAGACACTGCTAGCCGTTTACAAGCCCTGCGTTCCTTGTCTGGGACACCCAAATCACAGACATCTCTGTCACCAAGGTCATCCCTCTCTTCCCCATCTCCGCCTTGTTCACCACTAGTAATGGAGCCATTCTTCACAGGAGATGCCTTCATAAGTCACATAGAATTTGAAGATACTGATATAAACAGTGGGCTATCTGAAATGAATCTAAACAATGGACCTGGTAGAAAGTATAGAACGGAAGAGTCTAGAACTGGGGACAGACACCTAGATCAAGGTAGAGTAAATATCACCTCTTCCCATTCATGTTATACTAGTTTTTTATTTCACCAAAAATGTATGTGTTCTTTTTAACAAATTAGTAAGTTCTGAGCAATATAGTACATGTATTTATGGCCTTTGGTCTGTGTTGTTACTGTGTGCCTAACAAAGGGTGCAACTACACAGTGGGGAAAATTTGAATGGATCTACTGGAAAGTTGCACCTGGGAAGGTGGGTTTCTCTGGGTGGATTTGTTTTAGCCAACCATTCAGGAGTTATTACAGAGAGAAAGGAGAACATTAGTCATTCTGCCTTATTTGTAGTTGGTTAAAGTAGCTTCTGCTGTGGCCATCTAGATTTGCAGGAGTCATAGCTCTTCTGGCTAGCTCCTGTTCCAGCTGCTTCTGCCTTTAAGCATCTTGCTTATTGACCAGTTTGCTTAACAACCGAGGTGTAAGAATGGAACTCTGTAGGTAAGTGAGGAATACCTGTATTAAGTGGATTTCTATGCAGTTAAAACAACTCCTTGTATAATCACTTGCTATTCTGGGTTGAAAGGACTTGAATGGACTTTTTCCTGTGTAATCACTTTATTTGTTCTTGTAAAGATGCTGACATATATGTGGTTGGTGTTTCAATGACATAGGCAGTTAGGGCATGATGTTCAGGACTGGATGAACACCTGTGTTCTTTTTCCCCAATCATCCTCTGAATTTCAAATTTGTTTACATATATGAGATTAGTGCTACATTACCTTATCACCAATTTAGCACTAGATTATCTCCAGATGGGAATTTTTTAAACAAATTACAAAAATAGAAACAACCTAGATGAAATAAAAGTTGCTCCTGTATTATGTGGTATTTCTTTACATATAAAGAAGAACTTTGAAATCCTGCCACTTTTTCCAGGACACTGCACAACCCTTTCAAAACCAAGCAGCTTGGCAGTGAACCATAAAAAGATTGGCAGAGGTGGGACTAGAGGAAGAAAGGGAAAAGGAGGTGGGTGGGCTGAAATACAAATCACATCACACTGAACTCCCGAACCAATTTGCAGACCCTGTGTAAATACTGACTGCAGATTTAGCCACAATACAGGCTGTGAATCAAGTCTCAGCAAGTGAAGTCACTGCCTGAAAGTTTCCAGCTAGATTTAAACAAAATCTTTTCCCCACAAAACTGAAGTCACACAAATTGCATAACTTAAGGAAACAAACTGCAGTAGATTAAGGAATGTGTTATCTTTTGCATATCAAGTCACTTGATTCAGTGTGCAACCATTAAGGCCTACAGAGATTTCTTATCTTACAACAATTCACCTCTAAAAGTTACACAGTTTTGCTTAATTGTTCAAGAGGATTTCAGCTATTCCATTACAAACTCTTGTTGAAGTTGTTTGTCTTTAGTGTGGTAGACTGTGTTCTTCCCTCCTTTGCAAGCAATGGTCACATTTGTATTTAGAGTATGAAATGATTATTATTCCCATTAGGCCTTGGTGATAATTAGTCTTAACCTTTCTTGGCCGTTTGAAAATGGCTGAGGCTGTTAAAGTGAAAGCTATAAAGCATTAAGCAGATTAAGTGATTTAGGGTTGTTATTCAGTCAGCAGACAAAATAATCACCACAGGTAGTTTATTTCAGGGCAGTAATGAGGAAAGCGTTCATTCCCTGGGCTCTCCTAACACAGCACGGAGTAGCTGAAAAGCTGTGTGATTGAATTAATATGGTTCCTGAGATCATGTGTCCTCACATGTTCTTATAAGTAGAACTAAACATTTGATCCCCAAATTTCCTCACCACAATCACAACCCCTTTCATAAAGCTTTTGCTCCCCTCTAATGTGGGCGTGCTTCTGCATTTAGCTTAAATAAGGGGATAATATAATGGAACTAGGCAAATTTGCTGATGTATTCAAAAAGCATGGTGCAAACTAAAAACAAAAGTAAAATAACAAGTCTCACCCCCTCCCAAAGAGAGAAAGCATTACATTTGGAAATTAGTTTATTAAGTTAAAATCTGGTCATACTTGGTTTCTCTCAAGAAGCCAAAAAAGCTTGCTTTTTCTCTTCTACTCCTCATTTGGCTAACAGGAAATAGACTCCACATGGAAAGATATTTGCCTGTATTGAGCACATTTTTAATGATACTGAGATGAAGTCTTGCAGGTGAGTTATACTAAATATAATTGTCTTACATCAACAGCACAATTATAGCCAAAATGATCTTGATAATTGATATGTATAACTACAATCCACCACTGGCTTGGTGGATTGTAAATTGTTCCAGCCTTGTTTTGTGTAGTCTGTTGTGCAGAACAACACTGGGTTGTGAATGGTTAAATGGTGGTGAATTTTGATCTCAATATATGAAACTGACTTCCCAGTGAAATCAGTTCATTGATTCTTCTAACTCTGTATTGTGTTGTGAAGTCTTGGCCTTGTAGGTGCAACTGACTTATTTTAAAATCACTGATATAATTTTGACTTTCCTGCTTATGTTCATAGATATAAATATCGTTGAAGGAGGTGCACTGAAGGTAGCGTGCGTTTCAGCTGCGGTGTCCGATGAGTCCGTTGCTGGAGATAGTGGAGTGTATGAAGCATCAGTGAAAAGGTATTTTTGACTAAGCTATTACATCCTGAACTTTATATGCATAAAGCTTACTCAGGTCAGCAAAGCCAGGTTTTATAGACAGCCTATTTGGGATGAGAGAATCTATAGGATTGTGTTTGTGGACGGAACCCACCCTCACAACCATCAAGATTTGCAAGTATGTATGTGTGTGTGTGTGTGTGTGTGTGTGTGTGTGTGTGTGTGTGTGTGTGTGT